AAGAGAATAAAAAATTTGCCCAAATTTACATGGTGGTTATTGATCTTTAGATAGAGCCTGAACCAAAGTTCTGCTCTTTAGACATCATATTCAGAGGAGCTCTTTCCTCAGCCACCACTTAGCTTCAGCTCTCTTCTCTCCCTCCAATAAATTGCCCCCTTGCTTTGCTTGAACAAAGGCTCTCACACAATTTTATTTTGTGCCTCAGCACCAAATTACCTTCCTCAAAACCCAAATACCTCTATTCCACTGCTTTATACCTCTAGTGCCTCTCACTGCCCACAGAGTACAACTAAAATAAGTTCTATTGAAAGCCCACACAGTCTGGCTCTATCTTCCTCTGTTGGTGTATCTTTCTTTTTTTCATCTCTAGTCTACACAAGTTTCAATACCCAACAAACATACCTTCTTCACTCTGAAGCCTTCCTTAATTTCCTCTAGTTAGAGTAGTGTCTCTATGCTTGGGAATTCCCTAACCTTATAACTCTCATATAACAACTCTCATTTTTACATCATACCATAGTTATTGGCTTGCTTTTTAAATTTCTTTTGCTAGAATGCAAATTTAATGGGGTATGGAGTCAAGAGTAAAGCAATTAGCATAAGGCCTGGTGTTTTGAAGATAGTCAATAAATACAAATTCTCCCTCTTGAATACGTTCTTTCCCTCACACCTCTTCCTATCTCTCAGACAGAAAGAATTCAGTCATATGGGTTAGTGTAGTCAGCCAACCTCTGGAATCAAGCACATCTCTGGACTCCAGCCTCTGGGCCGGCTGCTCCTCCTTCAAGCACTGATGACGCTCCTATTCACTCCCACTGGTCCATGCCCTACTGGATCTTTAAGATCAACGTAGATCCTCACTCCTTCCCATCCATGGCTATTTCCACTGGCATTTCCCCTTCCTCTGAACTCTATCAGCATATATGGAATGCTTTAGTGAATTGATATTTATTTCTGCATTACTTCTGTCTTTAGGAAATTTTTATCTGTCCAGTCTCCCCAAATTCAGGGATCTGCCTTATACTTCTTGCACTCCTCAATGCATTTTCACAGAGGTAATCAGTCAAAACTAGTTAATTTAAAGTATTGTTATAATGATTTTGTATCTACTAATGCACAACTGATTATTCTGAAATAACTTGCTAATATTCTGTTCTCCTGAAATAGTTATGAAAGCTCCCCAAAGCTACTTGGTAACTGTATTTGGTCTTTATCTTGATTTCATTCCTCAGCATTTATAACATATGTCAGTTATAATATGAGGCATGTAAACCCACTAATAGGAGAAGTAAACATGAATTACCATTACTACTTTCCATAACTATGGCCCTATAAGAAACAGGAACAATTTATCATGAAAAAGGGCATAGACCTCCCCATCTGATTCTTAGTTCTGAGTCTTTATTCCCTTCTACCAGCAGCCTAATCAAAGTTGTAAAGGAGCAAAGGACTTTCCATGGTCACCTTTAAGCCACATTTTGATGTATTTGGCCTAGAAGTTCTCTTTCTAGGAGCTTGGCCCCCAATGGGGTTTTAAGACTGAAAATACTCACTTTGAAAGAAATGATGAAAACAAAATATCTTTTATACGGTTTGGGAGATTGGGGACACATAGGAGACATTTATAAGTCAGTGATTGCATGGTATGTGTGTTGGGAGGTTGGCAAAAGATCAAGAAAACTTAGAAACTAGTTGTTTGGTTACTAAAGAAAACTGAGAAAACAACAGTTTTAGGTATAATTCTCACCAGGAAATCCTAGCTGCGGTATCTTATTCAGGTATCTAGAAGTATATTTGCTTGCATTTTCTCTCCCCCTATTTGTATGAAGAATTAACGCTGGTTCAATTTTCTTCCTCTTTCATCTTTTGGTAAAACTATTTTTCATTTCTCTGCTATTATTTTCACACATGCACATGTATTAAAAAATCATCCAGTTTATCCTATTGCCATATTTTAATCAGTGCATGGGTATTATTGGCATTCATGGCCAAAGGAGTAATAACTCAAACCTGATTTTGTGAATATTTGATAAGTTGGGAAGACCACAAGCCCTAAAGACTATGTCCTCCTTATAAAAATATGAAGTGATAAAATATATGGCTTATATTATAACAGTTTAGTTTCAAGCAAATAAATCTCCATATTTTATATTTCAAACCTCATATTTTTATGTGGTATAAATTAGAGAGTCAAGTTATTATTGAAAAATAATGCAAGATTACACACACATATATATATATGTAATCTCCTAAAGTTTACTCTTGCTTCCCCCCCCCCCCCCATTCCACAGTGCTCTCTACACTAAGAAAAAAATACAAATGGAGTAACCATGTACGTGAAGGAGAACTTTACAAGCAGATAAGTCTTCCACTGTTGAAACCCTGCCAAAGCCACGCTGTGCTGTTTATATTCAAAGAAGGAGCGGTTATCACTTGACTATACCACTCGGGCTTGCCACATACCAGATAAAATTAATGGCTAAGAAATTCAACTTGACTTTAAAACAAAACCTTAAATACTAATACCTGATCTTTATCAGGCCATTATAGCAAAAATAACATTTCTGTGCCAACTGCCGATATTTATTCATAAAAGAAAGGAGTTGTACTTTGACAATCACATTGCAGACCAATAAAACCGCAATTTAAATCACTCCCCCGACAGTGTAATTTACGTTACTGCATTATGCCCATAACATGAAAAGGATGAAACATATATGACTATTCAAATATGTGTTGGATTGGGCCATTAGACTACGGTGATGTTGGGGCATATCTCCAGTAACTTTTTACTGGAACGTTTTCACTGCACTGTTGAAGCCAGTTAAATCTGTTCCATTGGTTTCCTATTTCAGTGAACTGCTGGATATTAAAGGGCAAAAATTGAAGCAGTTCCCACAGTGGTACAACGAACTACCCAATTTCTAAAATTAGAATCTAATTATCAAGTGGAAAAAGCCTAGAGCACATACATGTGTTATCTAAATTAGGTAGTTTTATATGAAATAAATTTAAAATGTGAAAAATAATCAGCAACAATTTTTTTAAATGTATTTTATTGATTTTTTACAGAGAGGAAGGGAGAGAGATAGAGAGTTAGAAACATCGATGAGAGAGAAACATCGATCAGCTGCCTCCTGCACATCTCCCACTGGGGATGTGCCCGCAACCCAGGTACATGCCCCTGACCGGAATTGAACCTGGGACCTTTCAGTCCACAGGCTGACGCTCTATCCACTGAGCCAAACCGGTTTCGACCAGCAACAATTTTTAAAGTAAATTAATATCAATGGAATAAGCTTGACAGATATTAATATTTTTGTCTTATTAGGTTGTATTTTTAAATATTTATACTTATCCAAAATAATGATAAGACCAATTTTGAATGCAAATGCATTAAGTTTAATGTATATATCATGATATATACATTAAGTGCAATGCATATATCATTATCTTAAGTATTACTCTTTAATATGTGAATTTTAAAATACTTTTATAGTTATACTAGTTTATATAGATATACTAGTTTATAAAGACAGTGAATTGACTTTAAAAAGAGACACTAAGAAATTCTTTGATTGAAAGTGTGGTAATTACTTTTTTCCTTTAAAAGAGTTTGTTCCCAACTGCACAACTGTTTAATCATAAAGTTCAAACACAGGTCCATTATAAAGTTAGACACTAGGTGGCAATACAAACCCCCAAACTTTAAAATCCCTTCTATCTCTAAAAATTAGAAACAAAAAAAGTGATATTCCCATTACTTTTCTATCCCATAATAGTCCTTTCTTTTTAATGAAGAATTATATTTCAAGTGAACCAAAAATTTCTTATGTATATAACACAAAATTTGGAAAATAATGAGTACATTTATTAATATAGTTGTCATATATGTATTTAGCTATAAAAAAAGCATTGATGACAGTATATTTGTTCACAAACCCAAAAAAATGCATTAACATTTTGTTGTACCAAAATAAGATAGGTGCTTTTCTTCACCCATCTGTGTATGAGACATAAAATGTAGTTGTAAAATATCTTAATATTCATCATTGGATACATTTTTAGCACTGCATTTCTAATAAAGTGGAGATTTTTCTTTTAAAGGGAATAGTGAGCAGTAAGCTTATTGCCCTTTAAGATGATTTTCTTAAAATATGTTAACTGTGATGAAGAGAAGTATTAGTATTCAGCAGTAACTGTCATAGAGCTGCTCTAAGAGTATGTTCAAATACTTGTGTAAAATAACATGGAGGATTTCAGTGAGAAGGAAGGGCTGAGTGTTTGTACAGTGAGGTACCAATTAGAATGAATATTTATTTTCTTGGCTAGCTCTACTGTATCTTCACCAGCACAGTGACTTTGTCCTGCATGAACTGGGCTGACTTATCAATTCAATTTTGGGTTCAATTCAACGTGCTGAACTTAATGTATGGGTCGGAATTTGGAAATTTTTTTTCTAGTAAAGTGATTATAGATTTTTTTTAAAGTTAAGTAAAAGGCTATGTTTTTCAGGTGGAGTTCATGATTATTAGACACTCATTTCTGATTAAAGGAGTCTAGAGATATGGTAACTAAATACAATGTGTAATTCTTGATTGGATACTGGATCAGAAAAAAATATAAAGTATTGAGAACTGTACATTAGATAATAAACTTATAGGGTAAGTTATTATAGTTTTTGTTAAAAAATGTTCTTGTTCATAGGTGATATGTGCTGAAGCAGTTAGGGTTGCAGTGTTATGTCGACTGTAATTAACTTTCAAATGAATAAGCATAAAAATATACAAATAGACAGAGGAGGAACACAAGAGCAAATGAGGCAAAATATTAAAAAAGGAAGAATCTAAGATATGTTGATATTCATTCTATTCTTTTAACTATGTTTTTGAGTTTGATAGTTTTCAAAATAAAAAGCTGGAAAATGATCAACTTCATCTCTGGAAATACACAAGAAAGTAAATAATATCACTATTTTTTTTCTTTTCTATTTGCCCAGAACGAATATGCCATTTTCTCTGGATGAACTGCAATCCAGACATTTTAAGGTTAATGTTTACTTGATTTCTCATAACTGAAAAAAGAATTTTGTCTTATGGATAAGATAGGAATGATTCTTGTTTCTGGAATAGGGGGTAATAATGAACATAAAACCTCCTGATATTTTTATGAGAAAATTCACCCTCTCTAATATACCCCTAGCTGCCCCATAGGCTTTCGATGCACAATATGCTGTCAGGGGTGAGTCATTCCTCCTGCTAATTGAAACTGTGCTTCTAAAGAGAATTTTCTAATCCAAATCAGAGCCTCTGCCTCCTAAGTGATGTAGCTTTTATAGTGTTATCAGTCCAAAAAATTTCCTCACAGAATGTATGTTTATCATAATCTCATTGTCAATAAACTGTTTGAAAGAAAAAGAATTCGGAAGATGAAGTATGGGACTTGAGCACCACATTTTGCTATGGAAAACTTAAACTGGCTTCTGGGAGATCATTTAAATGAAGGAAGCTGTTAACTCTCACATTTTTTTGGAACGCCGTTACAAAACACTGGCAAAATAGCAAATAAATGCTGTTTGTTTTTCTGGACTCTGCCTTGTTAAAAAAAGAACTTGAGACAAACACAGTAAAGGAGAATACTTAAGATATGAATGGTTTGAAAAAGAAAATTTTATCTCTTTGTTACATTAGCACATATTGGGGCAAAAATGAAAAATCAAAATTCATGTCAGGCTTTTAACAAATGAATAGAAATTTAGTTTCAGTATCTTTCACATGTCTTCTGAATGGAATGCTAGAAATAAACATGTAGTTTAAGCTTCATTTCTTGAAATGGTAGGGTTTGAAGTACATACTGACAAATAATTGATATATTTTCCATTCATTACACCTTTACTTAGCATACATCCACAAATATAGTAATACTTTAACTGCAGGTAAATATATTTACCTGTAGAGCCATTTAAAGAATAAGGGACTTTACTTCAGATGAATAATCATTTTTCCCAAATGAACTTACTAAGATGCCATTCACATTCTCGTATTCCTACATGCATTTATTTCATGACTTTATTATTTTTATCAGGTTTCTTAAAAATTGAGGATAACTCCGTTTCAAAGTACTGCCGCATCGTTGTGTTTCTTGCGGCTCTAAATCACTTTCTGAGTGTGAACAAGGTGAGTCTACTTACCCGCAGTTGGACTTATCTGAAGGCAACATTTTTTCAGGAGCTAAACACATCTATTTTACATATCAGATATACACATTATCATGTTACGTAGGACACAGTGATAAGTTAAAAGGGAGAACAAGACTTTAGGATAAAGCCATAATGGTTTGGAGAACATGCTTTCAATTATATTTAAAAGCTGGCATAAAGGACTTGTGTAAAAAAACTTCAGCATGTTACAAACCACAATGTAAATCTTCCATCGGAATGCTTATTTTTTAAGACAGTTCCACAAGGCACAGGGAGGGTGAGAAAACGGGAAAAGTATCATATGACCTCTTATTTTACAGTTAGCTTGTTTGTTAAGCACAGAGAGGAGATTATAATTTATACCTTTTAAAAGACAAAATTCTAGCCGTGCCGTTGTGGCTCAGTTGGTTGGAGTGTCATCCCGTACACCAAAAGGCTGTGGGTTTGATTCTCCTATTGGGTATTCTCCCCAGGTTGTGGGTTCCATCTCCTATTGGGTATGCACCATTTCTCTCTCACTTCAGTGTTTTTCTCTCTTTCTCCCCTCCCTCCCTCCCTTCTCCTCTCTCTAAAATCAACGTTTGGATCTTGAAACTCTATGTGTGCTTTTTGCCAATTTTAGGCTGGCCGCACAGTCTCCAGCGGTCAAAAGAGCACCCCCGTTCCATCACCCCGTGGTGCTGTTGCTGCTTCCTGCCAGTTCTCTACAAAAACCCAGAGTGAAGACAAGTGTCAGCTCTTACCTAAAAGCACACGCACAAGACGGGCAGGTCAGTGGAATCCTCGCGGGGATCCTCTCCACATGGGGCTGAGACACCTGGTCCTTAGAGACTTCGTGTATAGGACAGTTGATCTTCGTCGAGGCAGGAGACTTAGCTCCGCCTTCTGTTTTGAAGACATAGGATATATTTTCTGAACCTGAATACCCAGTTCAATAGAGAGCTTGTAGTTACCCAGGTGACGGCTGGATTCTCCTGATAAGGCCATTGCTTTCTTTCTGTGTGGCCATGGCCTACGGGCTTCCATACAGCCCACATGTCCCTGCCCTGTGCCCCAGATTCCCTCCTCAAGCAGCAAAAACAAACTTCCCTGCATTCCAAGCAAAATGGAAAGAAACGGAAGACTTCGAAAAGACTTTGAATTGCTTATTAGAAGTCTGAACTCTTTCCAGACGATCATTTTGAATTGTTTATCAACCTGAAAGGTAGTGATTGCAGATAAGAAAACTGAAAGGGGCCCTTAGAACTGCGGCTGGAGGGGCAGTTTTGAGGAGTGTGGTTTGGGTACGGCTATGCCCATTTTAGCAGTTCATTTTCTCATGTTGCCACTCACCTGGTTTCTAGGCTGCTTCTGTTTGCACTCCACATTCACTGTGCATTTCCTGTGTGCACATCTATACGGCACTCTGGGTACACATTTTATAAGGCAGCAATCGGTCTGACTTTTCCTTAATCCTCTACTCAGCCATACAGTTTCCATATTAAATGCCTAGTGTGGACCCCTCTCCAATGACAAAATCATTTTTAGAAACACATTTTAGTTAGAAATATGGTACCATAAACCAAAGGAATCGAAAAGCTAGACATTTAAGACATGATATTGGGGTGATAATTATTTTTAGCCAGGTAGAAATTCCAGTGTTTTCCAGTGGAAATTTACAGAAAATTTGCTATCAAGCCACTGCCACCTTTCAATTTTGACCAAGGAAAATACAAATCATTAACTAGTCAAAGATCATTGGGTCTTTGTTTCCAGTGACTAATTATTCCTTGACTAGAGAATCCTCTTCTATTATTGTTATTAATGGGACAGTAATTTTTTTAAAGGGCATGTCTTTAAATTTACAGTACCCTCATGCTGAGTGAAAAGCTACCCCCAAACTGTGATGCTCTTCAGAACGCCAGAAAATATGACATCATACAAAATAAGAATTTTTTTTTCCTTGCAGAAAATCTGACTACATATGATGTATACAATTATAGCCCTGACTCATGAGTGTATGGAAACAAACAGTCTCATGCTAAGCTTTTAGGCTAATACTATTTGGTGCTGGTTATTTTTTGGGATCCTTCGCCGGCAATTGCTAGCAGTTGTATGTTTTAAAAGTTTAAAAAAAAAAATCTGTGAATAAAATTTGAAATTGAAAACATATTATCCACGAACAGTACATCTTTCTTGAGAAATGGGAAAAGACTGCTGGTATTTTGCCAGGAGGAAACCTTCGTCACCGTTGGGATGCCAGGGTCCGGCAGTGGCTTTCTGGAGAATGACTCACCTGGATGGTTGTTAGAACGTGGAAAAGAAACAGATGTGCGCCCAGCAGAGGTGACAGCTCTGCGAGGCTTCTGATTGTATCTTGGTCCTTGGTTTTCGTCACAACAATTATTTTGAAGATATATATGTTTTTGCAGTGAGGGAAATCAGTAATTCCTTTTTCTATCGTGTTCATATCTTCTTTATTATTTGAATTTGTGTTTGTTTTTTTTTTGGGGGGGGGGGTTATTCTGATCCCTCACATTGAAGAATGAAAAAATCACATTTTCAAAAGTTGAGAAATAAAGTATAAAGTAAAATGCACAGCAATGTGCCTCAGGTATGTATTAGGAAAAATTGCCTATTATTATTAATTACTTTCCATTCAACTATATATTCTTCTATGTATTTATTTTCCATCTGTTCTTGTGTAATTGTTCTTTTTCCAGTATCGTCCCAGTAATCCACTCCAGCCCAGCTCAACTGTGACCAGTTATTGCAAACTAGAGTCATTAAAAAAATTACAGTGTAGAACATTTGATCTAATTCTCTGACATTGGGTCCTTGTTCCAGTACTCCATAACCAATGATCAATTTTTACCATTTTAAATGGGGGAAGATGAATGTTTTAGTAAAACTGAATTTAAAAACCCTGATGTTTTCAATGAATGGCCGAGTTCAGTTTCTAGCTTTCACCTTTAACTCAGGAAATATTGGGTCCATTGAGGGAGTAGTTTAGGCTTCAAACAAAATGCAAAAAGTCCACAGTGCCTATTTGCAGAAGTTCTATTGAAAGCAGTAGCTGGGCTATTGCCAGTGTAATGAGCCCTGATCAAAAAGAATTCAAGAAAGTTTAAAAAATGAGCTTTACTTTAAAAGACAATAAAAGTAGGATAGATGGAGGCTGCAGATGAAGGAGGAAATGGTCACAAAAAGAAAATGTTTCACTCTTTATGCCCTTTAATGCATTGCCTTACCTTATTCATCATGACATCAGCGTTTGAAAGTGAAACCCATCATTCATATTTTTGCCATATTTTCCTTTTTAATTTTACTAGGAACCTCTGCAGTTCCACATTGTGAGCATTTATAATTGGGAAAAAAATCCAATATGTAATTTTAAGTGAAAATGGAATGAAATAAAAGAGTGAACTCTAATATATATCATGGTTGAACACAGATTTACTTCTCACATGCTTTCATCCTACCTTTTTTGACGGGTTCACTTTATCTTTTTCATAACGTCTTTCGACTTTCTGAACACTGTCCATCAAGCCCGCCTTTCAGTTCATCCTGCGACAAACTAAAAAAGCTCAATTAACCTCAGCTGTTATGAGAAAAGGATGTTCATAGCCTTTAAATTTTATACGTAGAGAGAGAAAAGTAAACAAAACAAACTATGCATTAACAGAATTCTAGTTTGTCCATCATTATGATAAAGAAAAACAATGGGTTTTCTATGTCTTTGTCTTCTTCCAAGAGAATTCCCTTCTCCGTAATTGAGAATGCTGCATATGTTTTGAATCCAGAGACTGCTAGTAGTCACTGGGGCATCTTTACCATCCTGAGTAACCATACGCATGGAGCTCATTTCCATAATGTACAACTTGAGAGATGCTTTTGAAAAATAATTGCAATGACTGATCTAGTATTTGTTCTTTTGTGGGCATGGAGCGATTTGTTTTAGTTGTTTAGGTTGTTTCCACTTCTAAGATCTTAAATTTTACCATTGGCCAAAGTACCAAGAAAGTTGAAAAGCAAACAAGTTCTACAAAAAGTTGGTATCTTTAAAAAAGTGGGGGTGGGCGGGGAGAAGAAATTAAATGATTACCCACAGAAGAGACTCTTAACAGAGATGATGCCTCATTTATGTTGATGTAAATCTACTCTAAATAAAATAACAATTTAGAAGATTCTGTGCCGAGAAGGCATCATATGTCATTCAGATTACAACTTTGTCTTCATGACTGTAGTTTACAGCTGCATTTACAACCAAATAAAGCAGATGGTGCCTCCGTTTATTATCAGATGCAATTAACAAAATAAGTTTAAAATGTATTATTTAAATGTTAATGAAAAAGCAGCCTCACTTAATAGATAGAGAATGGCCCATGTAGGAAGGCAGTGCTTATTTAAGTGGCCACAAAGTTAGGAACAGCTTGCTGGACTTTAATGCAGTAACTTTCCAGATATGACTTTGAATCCATGAACATGAATTTTGATCTGAGCAGAACATACATATCTGAGTTTTGCATTAGAGTTCATAGTCCATTGGACTAAGCTAACATACAATGTTACACGGTTTACATACATAACTCAAAGCACGAGAAATTTTATGTAGCCTTTACAAGCTGGCTGAGTGGCACTTAGCAGATAATTTAGTAGTAATTTCCCACTTCTCTACAGAAAATGCTAATATTTCATCTTTTCCTGTGAAATCTTTGTCAATTTAGGTATTTGTTGGAGATACTACATCATTGATAAGACCTTGGGTGAGTGGAAAACTTGCATGTTCAGGTGCATATAATGCTTCCAATCATTTTTTAAATCATCGTTAGTATTTTCCCTTCAGCTTTATAAAATCTGCATCTACAGCATGTTTTAATAATATAGCTCCTTCTGAAATACTTCATTATCAGCATATGTGACATCCTAACACACATTAATCATCCTCAGTGGCAATATTTGTCAACCTGAAATATGGATTTTATTTCTGCCTTAAGAAATAGGTTAACTAGTGTGAGAATATTAGAACATGGGAACCACTTTCTGGGAAGCAGTGCAGATGGATGAAGCCAATATGTTTTTGATATTTGTTTTGGGGGCTTTCTTTAAAATGTGATTTGCCAAAGAGCTCTGAGGATAGGTGGCATACACTTACTTTATTTAACATGTAAAATGAAAACCAGTAACACAAATGATAGGAAGAAGATGCTTAAAAAACAATTTTTTACTACTATCAATAGCTTAATGTTTAAGCCTTAAAATGAGAGTATAAATGAATCGATAAAACCTGCCAAGTCCTAATCATTTCAGACAACAAACGCCACACTGAATTGATTCTATAATTATCCAATAAATGTGCAACAGGGGAATAATCAATTGATAGTATTTTAATGTTTTAATCAGTGAAAAATGTGCACCACTTATTGCTTTGCTTTGTAACTTAAAAATGACCCAAATCAGCGGGGAAACTCTTTAAAGGAAAATGCTAAAAATATTCCTTAAAAACACAGGGCGAAAGCTGACATTTCAGATTTAAAAGAAAGTTACATTTGGCAAGAGCCTGACTCTCATGATGTGTTAGTTATGTTTAACTCTGGTATTTTTTTTTTTTTTAACAAATGACTAAACCTGAACCCTGCATTTCGTGGGCCAAGACATCATCTTTTATGACACATTTCTACACAAACATACTCCCACCAAGGTCATCACTCACCTTCTTAAACACCAGGGGAGCACAAGCCAACATTTTAATTTACGGAGCAAATTTATACACAGGACTACAAGATACGGAGCTCCTATTGAGGGCTGCCACTAACAACAGGAACATATGGAGCAGCTCACGGCGGCTGGGAAAGTCTTTTCTATTTTGTCCATGCATTTCCACTCACGTTCTTACACCCTCTTAACCTCCTTTCTCTCTGTAATGGTTGTAACTAGGGCCGGCACCCTGCTTGAAAGAGCCCAAGGAGTTGTGATTCAAAATAGAAAGTGCTGGAATAGTGGGTCCTTGTATCTGAAGCAAAAGGGCGAAATGTGCACAAGAAATATGAGCAAATAAATTGGTTTTAATTGGTATATTCTACCAAGAGTCTATTCTGGGCTGCATCCAAATGTATGACCCTATGAAGTGAGGAAGAAGGCAACATTTACTGCTATTAGTTTTTAAAGTTCCACAACTTAAAAATA